AGGACCCACCACCAGGGTTTGTTACTGAGCTGACTCTCTCATCTCCTCCCAGATGACCAGCGCCTGGAAGATGGTGGCCTGTGGGGGCACCAAAGACCAGCTCTTCATGCAAGAGAAAGCCCGGCAGCTCCTGGGCCGCTTGAAGCCCAGCCACACATCTCGGACCCTCATTCTGTCCTGAAGGGGCTTGGGAGGCTCAAGCCTGTTGTCATGTTTACAGGGGCTAGGGTGGTGGGGTGAGGAATGCACTGAAATTCTGAAATTGCATTCAGCTGATCAGCTTCAGGAAGTTGTCTGCTGCCATCCCCTCAGACTACTCAGGTGTCAGTAGAAGTGGCACACTATATCCTGTCCCCAGGTCTAGCTTCGGGATGTCCCTGGTGCTAACAGAACAGACACCCACTCCTGGGCCTGTGTGTCCTGTCCCCAATGCCTAAAGGAGCCCTGTTAGTTTCTCCCAAGCTCCCATCTGGCCTGGCCTCATCTCAGACCCCTACTTAGGATAGGGGGCGTGGCTAGGAGTGTTCCTTTTCTCATCCCCTCTTGGTACATTCTCTCCACAATAAAATGCCATTTTCCCTATGCAGCCCTGACTCTGCCTTCTAGGCCTTGTACCTCAGTGGCTTTTTCTTGACATGGAGTCATGTCAACATTTATCCTCAGAGGTAACAGCTTTGCCCAGTGTGTATCTCTGCAAAGCTCCCAAGAGCTCTTGGTGGGGTAGAACTTGCAGGTGGGTAGACAGAGACAGGTTCTGAGAGGGCTGTTGGAATGGTACTTAAGCTTTGTCTTAATGCTCTTGGCCTCCAAGGAGCTGCTGCCTTAAGGTGAGCCAGACATTAGGTAAAACCATTAATAAGGAAGGGCTGGCAGAACCTTCCAACTCTGGTGACCAGTGTGCAGAAGACTGCTTAGCCCTGGGGCCCTATATCTGAGGTTGCCGCAGCAACTGCCCAGGCTGTTGCCTCCTTTGGTTAGGTTCAGTGGGTAGACCATGGCCCATAGCTGATGTATCAGTCACAAGCTTGAAGATGGAGATGACAGCCTAATGTCTAGATCAGGAAGTGTTCAGTAGCTTGCATGAGTGTCCTTGAGTTGGAGGTTGGATAAACCTGTGGGAAGCCTATACTTAGTCCTGATTGCAGGGGAGACTAGAGGCAGATCCATTCCCATAGGGCAAGAGATAACGTCTGAAGACATGACTGAGCCAGCACACTAGCGTTAAGACACTACCCTGCTCTTAGGCAAGGGATGTTGGGGACAGGCTCTGCTCTTCCCAGGCTGCCTCCCACAGCCTGTGTGTCTGAGTCCCATGCTCAAGTAGGCTGTCCCTGAGCTGTACCTGCCTCACCCCTGTTCTGTCCGTGTGAGCCCCATGCTCAGGTAGGTGCTGTCTGAGGTGGCAGAAATGAGGCTACCGGGAAGCAGGGGAGCTTATCAGGGTTTTCAGCCTGGGCTCTGGATCCAAAGGGTGGTGCCACCTGCATTTAAGGTGGGTCTTTACTTTTAAACCCCTGGAATTTCCTCTGACATACCTAAATGTCAGCCAAGTTAACAATGAAGAGCAGCCATCATAGTGTCTGTCTTTTTCTCTATTTCTTTGTCATGAAAGACTAGGTGGAGTATTCCTGTCCCACCAGCCCACTCCCAAGTTGCCACACACAGACTCAGTATTAATTACAAATTGGCCAATAGCTCAGGCTTATTACTAACTAGCTTTTACAACTTAACCCATTTGTAATAATCTGTGTTGCCCCAAGGCTTGTGGCATTTACTTCTCCTTGGCATGTCTTGCTTACTCTCCTTCCCAGCCTCCTCTGTGTCTGGCTGCCCCACCTATACTTCCTAGCTACCAGCCAGTCAAGATTTTTATTAAACCAAGTGACAAATCTTGACTGTACAAAAAGATTATTCCACAGCATGTCTGCATCCTTGGACAAGAGGTCTGAACTGCATTGTTTCCTAAGGTTTCCACCAAGACTAGAGTATTGGGGCTGCGGGCTGCTGGCTGGAGATGTAGATACTTGGGTCCAAAGACCTTAGAGAGGAGCCCAGGCCCTTGGAAGTCTCTGGCTATACCGATGAGCTGGTGGTCTAAGAGACCCGAGGATCTCTACCCAGTTCCCTTTCCTGCCTCTCGCCTTATTCTCAGGAACTACATAAAGGGAGAGCCCACTGGCAATGGGAAGACTTAGTGCCAGTTACTTGTGCCATGGAGCCAGCAAGGACCTCAGCTGCCATCAATCCATATTTTAAACTAATTGGACATAGTTTGCTATAGTTGCAGTCAGTCTGTCAGTTCTCTGGGGATAGGGCAAGAACTGAAGCAGGCCGAGGCAGCCTGCAGTGAGGGAGAAAGGGTTTGTCAGTGAGACTTGAAAGAACAGCATGGAAGGCTGAACAGGCTTTGACTACTAGTGTTGATGGTGAGCTTTCCTGATCTAAGTTTGCTGAGCCACTCAGTCCTTTTCAATCGAGCTCATTGCCACACTGATAAGCAGCTGACGGGAGCTGCCCAGACCCGGCCCTAGAGGGCATTCTCACATCCTCCAGCTTCACTGTGTTTAAACTTTGTACTTTGACATTTTATGTGCACAGAAAACCTGCCACGGTCATGTGATTAGTTCCCAAACTTCACCCTGCTTCCCCAATGTTCACATCTCACCCAATAGTAGTGCATTTCACAAAAACCAAGCCAGCTGGTGCAAAAGCATCCATAAAATTCAGACTTCATTTGGATCTCACCTGATCCTGTATTCAACCCAGGGTGTCACTTTGCACTTAGCATATGCATTTAAAACTTCATTATGGATGACTTCAAGTCTTTATTAAAAAAAAAGTAGGCTAAAGGTGCAGCAAGTGGTAGTGTATGCTTAGTATGTGCAAAGCCCTAGGTCCCTAGTTATACAAAAGAGTAAAATGCTAGAATCAATTTATATACAATGTGATAGAGGATCTGTTATTAATAACCAATTTACTCATAACCCACACCAGACTTTTTTTGTTGTTGTTTTCCTGGCCTTACACAACCATCCTTCCACTGCTTCCCCTGGCTTCCCATTGGCCGTCCTCTACTTAGTGCACTTAAGTTCTTGCTAAGTTTTCTTTAGTATTCAGGGCTGGTGAACACTTGCTGTTCTTCCAAAGGATCCAAGTTCAGGTTCCAGTATCCCTGTGTCAGGCAGCTCACAGTTCCTCAGCTTCGGCTGGGACCTGGCATACACTCACATGCACACAAGAATAAAAATCTAAAATTGTTATTAGTGGCTATGTGTTTGTGGGAGGGGGTGTTGCTCACAGTATGCATATGGAAGTCAGAGGTCAAGTAGAGTTGATTCTCCACCTTTTTGTGGGTTCTGGAGATTGAACAGGTCTGCAGGATTGTGTGACAAGTGTCTTTACCCACTGAGTGATCTTGTCAAACACGCCCAGAGCCTCTGTCTCTGGGGACAGGGACACACAGTACTAATTTGAAGAGGCAAGGGTGGTGTGAAGTGTGCCCAAAAAAGCGATTTGGATTTTCTCCTAAGCTGGGTGTGGTGGGACACCTGTGACATCAGCAGAAGCAGGAAGCTCACTTCAAAGTTCAAGGCCAGCAGCCTATATGGTTAGCTCTAGGCTAGCTACCGAGTAAGACTATATCTTCAAAAGTAAAGATTTCTTCCTTAAGAACTTAGAGAAAAGCAGCCGGGCGTTGGTGGTGCACGCCTTTAAACCTAGCACTCGGGAGGCAGAGGCAGGTGGATCTCTGTGAGTTTGAGACCAGAGCCTGGTCTACAAGAGCTAGTTCCAGGACAGCCTCCAAACCCTGCCTCAAAAAACTCAAAAGCAAAACAAAAAAACTTATAGAAAACCTAATTATAGCTTCTGGCTGCTTTTTTTTTTTTTAATCTATATATTTCAGCCAGGTAACACATTGACATGTATGCACAGGTGAAGAATGCAGAGATGCCTTCCTTATTCCTTGGTTCTCTCATTGTCCTCCCTAGAGGCAGTCGGTATTAGATTCTAGGGAGGAAGCTTTTTTATCAGGTGATAACCACTTAAACCTACATGGACAGACTCCTATAGTATCACGAGTATACCATGCAAACAAGCAAATATATCATGTTTCCTCTCTGGCTCTGTAAAAATGGCACACTATAACAGATTTTTCTAGGCTTGCTTTTTTGTGTTTTTTTAAAGATTTTATTATTTATTATATATATAACATTCTACTTCCATGTATATCTGCACACCAGAAGAGGGCACCAGATCTCATAACGGATGGTTGTGAGCCACCATGTGGTTGCTGGGAATTGAACTCAGGACCTCTGGAAGAACAGTCAGTGCTCTTAACCTCTGAGCCATCTCTCCAGCCCCCTAGGCTTGCTTTTTATCAGTTAAACTCAGGGGTTTACAATCTACATCCCACTGGCCAAGTCCAGCCTGTCTCTGTGTAGATAGTTGTATTGGAACATGGGGCCACTGGCTTCAGTGTTATCTCTGACTGTTTTCATGCTATAGAACCAAGTAGCTGCCAGAGAGGCTGCAAGGTGAGCTGAGCCTAACTATAAACCTTTCTGAACAAGCAGTGTCCAGTGTCCAACATCTGTACACAGTTTCTACACCTGGCTCATGATACCTTGTCTCATTCGTAAAGCTGCAACAGTTCCCTCAGTAGACCCTCCTTATGGGTAGGTCCATGCTGCTATAGATAACACCTCGCTGAATAACAGTACTAAACCTCATTTTCTGCATGCGGTTGTCTGTGCAGGGTGAAGTCTTAGATGTAGAATTATTTGATCAAAGCCCATGTGTGATGATTATTTTCGTAGCTACTGTCAAAGTGTTCCCCAAGGAAGTTGGTTCAACTTACAGTCTCACTTATGTTATAAGCACCACCTCCTCCGCAGACTCCCTAAGCCTTTTGGAACAATCAACAGCAGGACCAGTTACTTTGCAGGTTTTTATTCTGAGATTCGCGTCTATTCACGCATTTGAGAGCCCTCTTCCTCCACCTAGAGGTTTGCCCTCCTGGTCCTGGACTGAGGATCTTCTAGGGGTTGGTCTCTCTGTGACTCTTGTGTGTCACTCTCACAAACAAGTTTTTGGGGAACAAAACTCTTAAGGACGAACATTGGGTGACAGTTGGCACTGTCAACATTCCACGTATCAGGGTTGGAAAGCCAACGGACCTGTAGTGTGTCCTCATTCTGCGGCTGTGGGAGACTGACGTGCAGAGGGCTCAGGGTGTCCTCTTCCTCCATGGAGCTTCTGTTGACACAGGTAGCTTCATGTTCAGCCAGCTTTCTGATAGGGACCACGTGGCAGGCATTGTATTTACAGCTGGCCATCTTTTTGGCTTTCTTGGGGTTCTTCTTCCTGCATGATGCCAGGTGGTACTGGAACCTGCTGAGTGGGATCCGGTGGTGAGGGTTATAAGGACAAATTTCTATGGATTCTGGCTCCATGGGGACTTGAAGCCAGGTGTCCTGCTGCCCAAAGTACAAATGACACACCTCCCAAGGAAAAGCCTTTTTGTAAGAAAGATTGTACTGTCTTCTGCCAGGCTTTGGCTCTTGGGACTCTGGAGTGAAAGTCTTACTCTGCACCTTCTGTCAGCAACAGCTATGCAGAGAAAGCCAGCAAATGGCCACAAGAGAAGTTAACTCAAGCAGATTCAAGAGCCCAAAACAGTAGCTTCCACGGAGGTGAAGTTAGCAGGCTATAGCCCTTTGACTCGAAGGGCTGACATGCTGTGTTGTCAAGAGACAGAATGGATGGTCACAATGGGCAGCTTATGACATCAGGAAAAGACTGTCCATTGCTCGGGGGGTGTGGCTTTGAGGAAAAACCGCTATTCAAATTTGTTCATGGCACGAACATTGCCATTGGCATCTTCTGACTTTATTAGTATAATTAAGCCCGGTATACATTTTGGTTTAAATCAGCTTTGTGCTGTCCTTCAGAAGTAACTTTTCTACATGATGCATTTGTATGGAGTTGCATGTGGTAGTACCTGGGGAGGCAAGAGAAACTTGTGGAAAGGACTTGATTTTCTTCCTCCTTGTGGGTTCTGGGACCAAATTCAGGTTAGGAGGCTTAGCAGCAAGCACCTTCCCCAGTGAGCCCTCTTGCCAGTCTTTCCCCCTCCGTTCTTTGCTCCTCTCTCTCTCCCTCACTTCTCCACACCAGGTTTTGGGTAGCTCAGGTTGGCCTGGGTCTCGATATGGAGTTGAGGATAACCCCCACCTTGTGTGCTGGCATTGTAGATGTGTGCTTCTATGTCCAGTTTACATGGAGCTGGGGACCACACTCAGGGCCACCTGCGTTTGTGGCAAGCAGTCTATCAACTGAGTTGCATCTGAGCTCAGTCCACATTGTCTGCTCGCTTTGGTTCATCTCTCTGTCTGTCTGTCTGTCTGTCTGTCTGTCTGTCTGTCTCTCTCTCTCTCTCATCTGCTAGGATGCTTCTTAGTGTAGGCTGTCTCAAATTTGAAATCATCTTGCCTCGGCCTCCCAAGTGTTACATTTTCTGGTGTATGCAACACACCTGGCATCATTCCCTTATTTTAAGCAGAGTGTTGAAGAAATATTTCCACCCTTCCTCAAGGTGTATACTTTTAAATTGTCTAATGATTCAATTACAAATTAAAATTTCCATTGGATGATTTACCAATTTTTTAAAAATAGATTTTTATTTTGTGTGTGGTTTTTACTTCATGTGTGTCAGTGTACTGTGTGTGTGCTGGTGCTGGTGTTGGTGGAGGCCAGACGAGGGCTCTGGAGCTTCTGGAACTTGAGTTATAGACAGTTGCAAGCCACCCTGTAGGGGCTGGGAACTGAACTTGGGTCATTACAAGAGCACCAAGTGCTCTTATAACCACTGAGACATCTCTCTAATCCTTGGTTTACCCAAATTTAAAGTTAGTATTTTACCCTTTCTGGATCATGTGAAGGTTTTCTTTAGCATCCCCCCTCCCTCCTTTCTTCCCCCTCCCTCCCTTCTTCTCCCCCCCTCCCCCCCTCTTCTGTCCCCTCCCTCCCTCTCTCCTTTTAATGCTCTAAACTGAACCCAAGGTTTTACACTTGCTAGGCAAGTCCTCTACCACTGAGCAAAATCCTTAACCTATTCTCTGTATTTTAACCCTGGTTTTATGACTACTATTTATTTTATTTTATGTACACTGATGTTTTGCTGTGGGTGTTGGGTCCCTTGGAACTGGAGTTAGAGACAGTTGTGAGCTGCCATGTGGGTGCTGGGAATTGAACCAAGGTCCTCTGGAAGAACAGTCAGTACTCTTAACCACTGATCCATCTCTCCAGCCTCTACTATTTATTTTTTATGTTTTTATTTTTACTGTTTATTTTTTATGAGGCAAAGTTAGGGTTTTATAAAGATATTTTGGAGGGCTAGAGAGAGTACTCAGTGGTTAAGAACTTGCTGTTCTTGCAGAGGATGGTGGTTCAGGTTCCAGTAAATACCCTCCATAGCTCACAATCATCTGTAAGTCCATTTCTAAGGGGATCTGATGCCCTCTTCTGGTCTCTGTGGACCTCTGCATGTGTGTGTGTGCTTCTCAAAGGAGTCACAGAAACAAAGACAAGGATGCGGATGGGGGAGTCACTTAGCCCTGACTGAGTGGCTTCCCTGGACCTTGCTGCTGTTGTCATTTTGTGTCTTTAAGGTTTCTTTCCCTTTCTCCTCCGTGCCTCTCCTGGCTTCTCAAATCCTCTCCGTGCTTCTCAAATCTTTGCCTCTCTGCTGTCCTGGCTCACATTGCATTTTGTACCCCCTTGGGGAATTATTGCCCTTCCAATTCAAGTTCATCTTCCTGACTTCCTCTTGACAAACCATTCTTTCTCTGCTTGAAGGACAACACTCTTGTTTCACTTTTTTTTTTTAACCCTAAAGCTTTATTTTGTTCTGTGTGTCTGTGTGAGTGTATGCCAAATGTATGCAGGAAGACAATGTACCTGGGGGTTGTGAGCCCATGATGTATGTGGTGCGAACCCAGGTTCTTTGGATGAGCAGCAGGATATAAGATCAACTCACATGGTAACTGGGCTGAGAAAGAAATCAGAGAAGCTTGGGGGTAACCCTAACCAAACAAGTGAAAAACCTGTATGACAAGAACTTTAAGTGTTTAAAGAAAGAAATTGGAGAAGATATCAGAAATGGAAAGGTCTCCCAGGCTCTTACTTATTCGGCTTCTTGAATCAGTGTGTGACTGTCTTGTGTTGGTTTTGGAATCATTCTGCCACTCTTCAAATGCTGCTCCTGCCTTTCGTTTTCCCTCCTTTCTCCTTCCTGAGGATCCGGATGCCCCACTCACTGTAACCCACAGCATCTCAGACCCTTTTCCCCATCTGTCCTGTGCCATGTGCTATAATGTCCTTGGGTAGTGACCGTTCTGTCGCCAGATAAACCCCCCCCCCCCCGCTGTTTCTTTTATGAGTGTGTTGTACATACGTGCGTGTGTGCATTGGGAACAGAGGCTACAGGATGACATTGGGTGTTTTCTTCAGTTACTCCTCATGTTATTTTTTTAAAGGGAGACAGGGTCTCTCACTGAACCTGGAAACTCACTGGGGTTTTGTTTGTTTGTTTGTTTGTTTGTTTTCTTCTCTTTTTTCTCACTGGGTTTTTTAACCTTTTTAAAAATTTCGTATGTATGGGTGTACTGCCTGCATTTATGTTTAAATACAATGAGCACGCAGTGCCCTTGGAGGCTAGATGAGAGTTTTCGATACCTAGGATTGGACTATTGAGTATGATTGGCTGCTAGCCATCATGTTGGTGCTAGGAATTGAACCAGGGCCCTCTAGAAGAGCAACCAGTGTTCTTAACCACTGAGAATGCTCCACCCTCTACCATAGGCTCAGGTATTTGAACACATGGTTCCCATTGGTGACCTCAGGGTGTGTACTGGCTAGTTTTAATGACAGGAGCTAGAGTCATTAAAGAAGAAGGAGTCTCAGTTGAGGAAACGCCTCCATGAGATCCAGCTGTAAGACATTTTCTCAATTAGTGATCATGGTGTGTGGTGTCATTTCTGGGCTGGTGGTCCTGGGTTCTATAAGAAAGCAAGCCATGAGAAGCAAGCCAGTAAGCAGCACCCCTCTGTGACTTCTGCATCAGCTCCTGACTCCAGGATCCTTCCCTGGTTGAGTTCTTTCCCTGACTTCTTTCAATGATGAACAGTGTGCCATGGAAGTGTAAAGTGAATAAACCCTTCCTCCCCAACTTGCTTTTTGTTTAAGGTATTTCATTGAAGCAACCCTAAGACAGGTGTATAGTTATTCAAATGAGAACGTTCCCCGATCAAGATCAGATGTTTACATTTACATGTGCAGGTTTAGAATGTGTGGCCTTGTTTCTGGTCATAGTGGGTTCTGTTTTTAATATATTTATGTATATGAGTGTTCCATCACATATGACATATATGCCTGTATGTCAGAAGAGGGCATCAGATCCCACTATAGGTGATTGTGAGCCATGGTATGGTTACTGGGAATTGAACTCAGGACCTCTGGAAGAGCAGCCAGTGCTCTTCACCTCTGAGCTGTCTCTCCAGCCCTGGTCATGGTGTTTTATCACAGCAACACAAAAGTATTTAATAGACATCTGTCTCCTCCACTCCAGCACTGGCATTACAGGAGCCAATAGCCAGCTTTTTTCTGTGGGCACTGGGGTCCAAACACAGTCCCCATGCTTGCATAATTAGAGTTTGTGCTTCTAGGGTTCTGGTTGTTTTTCAAATCTGCCACACTGCCTTGAATAGGTTTCCTGCTCTATGTAGACAAATGTGTTAAGGTTTGCCATTTCATTTTGTAAAGCATGGTGGAGATAAGCTGATTAAAAACTGTGTTGGAATCCCTCGTGGACCTGTGTTTGCAAGCTCATTTTGGTTCGAGGGAGAGAGGATCCTATTATGTAGCTCAAGCTGACCTTGGACTGGCAATTCTCCTGCCTCAGCCTTCTAAGCACTGGGATTACAGATGTGTGCCACCATTCCCAGCTAACTAGTTTTATTTAGTAGCTTAGCATACATTGTCTTTGGAAAATTCATTGTAGGGCAAATTCTGCTGCTCTAAAATGAGATAGCTGTGTCTTCCTCTGAAGAAGCTTGTCACGTAGAGATACAGAGCCAGGGACCACCTCCACCCAAGTCACAGCCTCCTTAGCTGAGCACACTTCTGTACCTCATAGGTACTGGCACAAGGGCTGGCCTGCAAACATGGTCAGCCTTGCCTTCCTTTATCTTGTAGTTCAGCTGCTATCCTGGGAAGCCTTTTAAAGTCTCCTTGAGTGGAAAGAAGGGTTCGGCTGCATTCCTATATCCATGAAGCTAGAGCTCTTGGTACCCCGGCTGACCATGGGAAATGTTCCTCGTGCTGGGGGGGTCCCCGCTACTGTTCCTCTTGCGCCACACAGGACTGAACCAAAGTCCAAATACACATAATTGTA